TCTGTTTAAATAAGCTTATAAGTTTATTTGTAAAAAGGGGCCCCTGCTAAGTCATGGTCCCCAGTGGACTAGCTGTATGACCTTGATCACCACTTAGCTTCTCTCTGAGGCTCATTTTCCTTATCTATAAAGTGGGGGTAACAACGGCACCTCTCTGGCCTGTTTGTTCTGAGGATCACATGAGAGAATGCACGCGGGGCCCCTAGCACGAGGCCTAACACGTAGTGAATATTCACTAACTGCAAGCAATTATTGTTATTGATGCTAACGTTATAGGTGTTATAAGCCTTGGGACTTGGGGGACCTTCTTGGCTGAGTCTAGGGAAGGGAAACGGAAGTCTAGCAGGACAGTGGACAGTACCTCTGAGCTATTGCACCTGCTGTTCCCTCTTCTTGGAATGGCCTTCCCTGTTTAACTCACTGGCTGAGCCACTCCTTCTCTGAGTAACTAGCCCAGGGCCCATGGACAATAGCCTCCATGCTCCAAACATCCCAGGGGAGCTCCAGCGCCCGTCCTTCCCTTTCTCTGAGCTCCAGGGACAGAGGAGTAGGGCAGAACTGGTGGGGGAGGGACAACTTCTTCTGGAACTCTCTGCAGGGTGGCCTACTCAGGGTAGCATGACGTACTTGTAGATTAATTTTTAACATGGCCCAGGTCCAAAGGCTGAGTTCCCACCTCTGAGACCATGAATCCTTTTCCCTTCCAGGGATCCCTGGGTAGGGTAGAGGCTGGCCTGGGGGGACACAGCAGGGGAACTTGCAAAGATGCTCCCGCTGGGCTTACCCTCCATGCGCCTCTGACCAAGGTGAGCCAGGATGTGTCTGTGCAGTGCTCTTTGCTCTCATGGGTCAAGGGTGCAAGGAGGGGTAGGAGGACTCTGTCTGCCTGGGGAGGGGGCAGCAAGAAACTCCCCCACCAGAGGAAGTGCTATTACAGCTGGATTTTGAAGGATGAGTAACTCACCAGTGAGTTAAGCAAGGAAGGGCATTCCAAGAAGAGGGAACAGCATGCGCAATGGCTCAGAGGTACTGTCCACTGTTCTGCTACTTCCATTGCCCTATAGAGATTAATGGTAAAACCTTCGAAGTGTCAAGGGTATGTGGGCTTGTTCTGGAGCCTGCAAAGGAGGATGCTGGGGAGAACATTCTAGGCCATGGCTAGTCCCAGGGAAAAGACGGCCGAAGTGATTGACTGGATGGGGCAGCTGTGAAAGGGGGTCATCAGAGTTTGACGAATGCCCACCACATGCCAGGCCTTGAGCTGGGCGCTGTGACACACCTGGTATTCTCACAGCCACCCTGCAAGGGAGATGTGCTGCCCATTGCACGGATGAGGAGATCGAGGCTCAGAGGTGAAATCCCCTACACCGAATCCCTCAGCAAGCGAGAGAGGGGACCCATGATTTTTATGACCCTAGATGCTATTAAGGAGGGGTACACGTGACAAAAATAGGCAGCTGCATTTTCCTCCTGCGCATGAGCAGCTCAGTTGAGGCTCTCCCACGCCAGTGGCAAGCCCTGGTTCATTAAAGAGAGGAGCCTCCTGCTTTCCCTGGTGGGGCTCTGGCGGGCGTGTTGGGTGGGGGAAGGCCCTTTCAGTACGCCGGCTGTGGGGTCAGGCGTGCAGGCCAGGTCCTTGTAGGGCTCAGGACACCTTGTGCCCACCTCCCTCCAGTCTTGATGCTGAGGGGATCCCAGGGAAGCCAGTAAATGGGAGAAGGATGATGAGAGGATCCCTGAGTGGGGGCCCATAGTGGGGCAGGGATGGGGGGCTGGGATGGCCCCATCCTGCCAGCAAAGATTCAAATGGGGGAGTTTATATGGTCCAAGTTTCACCAACAGTGAGGCCCATCCACAGATGAAAATCTCCCCGGGGTGGGGTTTGAAGGGGGAGAAGAAGGGGGTTCAGTGACTGCTGATTAAAGGACCAAGACCCATACACAGTAGGGCCTGACCTGCCCCCTCCTGACCTCGTCTAAAGTGAAAGGCCTCTTCTCTTTTCTTCTACCCACTCCCACCCATCACAGCTGTCCCTTGTCACTTCTCTCCCCGTTGGTCTTTTTAAACCACATTCCACCTATAGAGTGCTCTCCTCCGGACCCTGGAACTGCACAAGGAGGGAGGAGGTTCCTGCTCCTTTTCCCAGGTGTTAGCTTTGAGGGCTGGGCAGACTGGCAGGGACAGGGATCCTACCTCCTGACCCCTGTTCCCCTTTCAGTCTTCTTTCCTCCTGGCTCTACATCCAGCTTCTTTAATGTCCCTCACAGGCTGTTGCTCCCAAACCATCACTGTCCTGGTCATGATTCTCCAGAGCCTACTTTCTATCATTCAGGTGCTGAACTCCTTGCTGCCTCAGGGCCTTTGCACCTGCTGTTCTCAGAGTCTGAGCGGCTCTTCTCTGAGATGCACTGTCCTTTGGGGCTTGACTCAAAAGCCAGCTCCTCAGGAGGCCTCTGATCAAGGAGGCCAGATCAGGGCCCCTCATGAGCTGCTTCTTCAAGCACCCGAGTATTTCTCCTTTAAGGCCAAATCACTACTCTAGTTAGCAAGGAAGGGAGGAACAAGTCATCAGGGTCAGTCTCCCCAAAGGGACCTTGAATTTTGTAAATATGAGCTGGATCTGGCACAGAGATTAGCCCAGGAGCCCCACTTTGGGTAGAGGGGTTGAAAAGACCTCTTCACGAGGTGGCTTATAAGCTGAAGTGGAAGGAGGGGACTGTCCTGTTTCCCACTGTCCCCCAGGGCTCAGTACCTGCCCTTTCTGGTGCTTCATAAGCCATGTGCTGGGGGAGCGAGAGGCTGACAGAGAGAAGACTCTGCCACCTCCGTCCCTGCCAGTCACCCCCAGTTTTAGGTGCTCTCAACAAAACTCTCTCCCCATCTGGTTCGCACTTCTCTCTTTAATGCTGGAGTCACCCTGGCTGAGATCACCTCTATCTTGCCAAAGACATTAGTCAGTTTTCTGAGGTCATTGTCCTTGACCCTGCAGTGTTGTTCAATGCATGGAGGCTCTCTTTCTCATTCACTTTCTTTACTCGCCTTCCAGGACGCCCTGATCTCTCAGTTTCCTCCTGCCCCTCTGTGTCTGCAGAGGGGGCTCCTTCCTTCTGGGCTCCTTCCTTCTCCGCTCAGCCACCAAGCATGGGGGGGCCCTCTTTGCCTCTGTCTACTGCCACTCCTCTCTCCCCCGGGGGGACTCCATCCAGAAGTATGGCTTGGGATGTCATTTAGAATCGTGGCCTCAGACATCACGTGCCTCCATCCTGGAGCCAGTCTTGCCTACCTAGTTGCCTCCTCGGCCTCTGGCCTCTTGACTGAGGGGTCTGTTAGCATCTGAATCCAAGGTGGTCTGAACCAGAACTGCTTCTCCCCTCTCCCAGCTGCCTGACCTGCCCGGTTCTGCCCCATCTGTGCCTCCATTAAAGGCATGGCCAGTCACCCAGTTACTCAGGCCATGAACCTGGCAGTGACTCCCAAGGCCTCGCTTCCTCTCATCCCCCCACTCACTGCAGCACCACGCCCAGGCTCTTCCTTCAAACTAGGTTTGAGTCCTGCTGCATCTCCCCATCTTCACTGCTCCAATCCTAGTCCAAGTTACCACTGGTCCCCACCTGCATCTCTAACTGGTTCTCCTGCTTCTTCTGTGTCTCCGTCTCCCAATCCCATTCTGTAAAAAGTGGCCTGAGTGAGCTTTCAAAGATGCAAGGCTTCCAGAAGTTTCCATTGCTCAGAAGAGAACCCAGAGTCTTCACCATGGCCTAAGTGGCTCTGCCCGTCCCTCTGGCCTCAGGCCCCACCAGTCTGCCATCAGCTGCCAGCCTCATCAAACACACCAAGGTTCTCATCATAGGATCTTGGCACAGGCTCTTCTCTCTTCCTGGACGTCCCTTCCCTGGGGTCCTCCCATGGGCCCCCTCCACAAGCCTTTTCCTGACTGCATTTCCCCATCACTCTCTACTGTTACCCTACCCATGTTCCTTCAGACGCTGAATGCTGTCTAATAGTGTTAGTTACGGGTGTACTGTCCTTCTACCTATAGACAGATGGTTGTCTATCTTGTTCCCTGCTGTGTCCTGGGCACCTAGACCAGTGCCTGGCACACAGTAGAGGTTCAAAACACAGACATGGAAGGGAGGAAAGAAGCCCCCAACGTGCAGTTCAGGGCAAACTCTGGGCCCCAGAAAACACCCAAGAATCCATAACAGACTTGCCAATCTTGGTTACTTAACCTTAAATAACTCTGTTGGGGCCATCCAGTCTCTGCCTGAAATTCCTTTTTCTTTCCTCATTCAAGAGTAGTCAGGCTAAAGTCCACCCAAGTAACCCTTAACCTCCCAGTCTGTAGCCACCGCAGGTGGATTCAAGCGATCTCACAGAATTCTCCAGAATCAGTTCACTTTACACTTGAGTAACTAAAGAGGCCAACATGGAGGGTTCCTGAAACTAAGAAACTTGGCCCCAAATGACACGGTATTAATAATAACTACATTCTATTGAGTTATTATTTTGTGCCAAACAGGATTTTAAATGCTTTCCATGCATTTTCTCATTGAATCCTCAGAAACCCGCCTTGAGGCTGTTGTATGCGCAAAACAACCCACCTCAACCCTCACTGATTTAAAAGAATAACCATTTTACTTGCTCACCACTCTGTAGGCCAGCAAATGTGGACTGGTCTCAACTGGCAGTTCTTCTGATGGTCTTGCCTGGGGTCCCTCATGTGCAATCACGTAGGGGCACAATCGGGGCTAAATGGTCAAAGATGGGCTCACGCGCATGTCTGGGGCTGGGCACTGACTGTGGACGGGGCCACGTGCCTCCTACAGGCCAGCCTGGGCTTCTTCCACGGGATGGTAGAGTTCCAAGACAGCAAAGCCCCATCGTGCAGTTTTCATGCCTTTGCTTTGAGTCATGTCTGCTGAAGTTCCATTACCAAAGGAAATCACGTGGCCAAGTTCAGAGTCAACGTGAGAAGGGGCCACATGGGGGAGTGGGTATGGGGAGAGAGAATTCATGAGAGGCCATTATGGAGCAGTCGGCCACAGAGGTTAGTATGTTATTACCTGTGCTTTACAGGTGGGGAAACTGAGGATCAGAAAGGGTAAGAAACATGCTCTAGGCCACCTGGCTGCTGAGAGGCAGAATGAACCTAAGCTCTTGGCTCATGAGCCTCAGGAGCCCCACTGCCTTGTAAAGCAGTTAAGTCCCCACTTTGAGAAATGACAAGATGGCAGGTTTGTCTTTCCCAGGCTCCCAGGTGCGCTTTTATTACAGTCAATCAAAATTATAGCCGCTTACCTCACTTAACCTCTGCTCCTCAGGCTGCTCATCTGTAAATAGGTCTAGTAATAGTGTTCTCTTTTCTTATTATTTGGTTTATTGTCTGATGATTGGTAGATTGGAGAGAATGGAGACCCCTTGGGGGCTGGTATTTTCATCTGCTTTGTTCTCTGCTGTATCCCCAGTGCCTAAAACAGTGCCTGGAATATAGTAGGTGCTCCATAAATATTAGTTGAATGAATAAGCAAATGGATGGGTGAGTGGGGGATGTGGAGTAGGATGGGCGGGAGACAGTAAGAAAAGAAGAAAAGCCGTGGCTTCGAGAAGTCTTTCAAAAAGATCTAAAAGCCCCTGGCTTCTCTTCTCTGCCTGAAATGGTTTGCAAACCACCTCCCTGGTCTTCAAGCCCTGTGGTGAGCCCTCTTACCCTTCATGCGAAGTCTGATCAGGGGGCGGGGGGTTGAGTCTATCTGCCCTCCCCCCTTTTTCAGGGAGCCGGACCCCTTCCACCTGAGGCCGTGCTCCCTACTAGCCCCCTGGTGTCCTGTCCATGCAGCTGGCTGATGGGGAGAGGAAAAACAAGGCTGTGTTCAGGGCAAGCTTTTGTGGGCCAGTCCTGAAACAGCTCACATGCTATTGGCTAGAACTCAGTCACATGGCCACATCTGGCAGCATGCCCGGCTGAGAAATGTGTAGCTCTGGTCCTGGAAGAAGAGGTGGTGGGCTTGGTGACCATCTAACCAGTCTCTGCCACCACGGCCATTGCTAGCCCAGAAATTTGATAACCTTGGAATCTTCCATCTCAAGGCACCAGGGGAAGGAGGAGGTACCCACTTTCCTTACGCCACTCTACTTTTTCTTGTTCTTTTTTTTCCATATATGCGTCACCTTTTAACAGAACTTATTCATTTATTATGATTCTTGTTGATTGTTGGCCTCTCCCCACTAGGATGTGGACACGAAGATCTTCGTGTGTTTTGTTCACTGTCTCCTCAGCACCTAGGATAGTGCCTGGCATTCAGTAGGCACTCAGCATTTATCAAAAGAAAGTTGAATGAATGCAGGGTATGGATCCCTGGTCTGCAGCCCAATCCCTGGAGCATAGGAAGCCCTAGATAGATGGTCAGTACCTCCTCTACCTGCTGGGAAACCCACAGGGAGGCCAGGATTCCAACTGGGGGTCAGGGAGTGACCATGGACAAATCCCCCTTCTCCTCTGTAAGTCAGGGGGTTGGACCACAAGTTCTAGGGGCCCTTCCAGCCTAGATATCCTAGCACCAGGAATTCTTGTCAACTCTTCTTGTTCCTATTTATTTTCAGCCCACATGTGGATATGCTCAGCACACCTCTGCTCCTTCTTGCTAGACCTCAGCCCTGGGAAGGGGCTCCTCCAGCTCTGTGGTGCTGGGATGTCTCAGCTGAAAGAGCTCCTAGAACTTGCAGTCCAATTCCTGGAGGTGTGGTCTGGAGATCCGCATACAGCAGGCATTTATTAGGTGCTTTTAAAAACATGAGACAACCTGAACACCATTAACAGAAGATGGTGGACTACACTGTGTTGCTATTGAAAGAGAAGGAGACTCAGATCCAGGGAACGGGTTGGGGTGGGGGGTGCGGCGCATGATGTAAGTGAGAATAAAGCTCGTTGCAGATTGTGTTTGACAATGACTCCATTTTTGTGCCACCAAATGGCAAAATCTCTATATGTGTGTATGTGGGTTTATTTATGTTCACAAGTAAGGAAAACAGTGGGAGAGAGGAACCCCCGGTCTGTACCATTAGTTATCTAGCAGTGTGTGCATGCGGAAGGCATGGGGATCAAGGAATAGAGAGGGGTTGGGAGAGAGTATTAATTTTTTCTTACATCTTTGTCATTTTACTAGTTTCAAATAAAAACGTGTTACTTTTATAATCTTAGAAAAATAATTTAATTCATGTCTAAGGAGTCAGACCGCTAAGGGACACATCTTTGCAGACATCTACTACCGCTGAGAACATGCACTGCTACATGGGCAATGCTTAGCCCTCGGAAGTCATCCCCCTGGATGCTTCCCCTAAGGATAGCGGGAGACTTCCCAGAGTCCATCCTGCCATCTGCACCTGTGTATCAGTGGCATTTGGCAGAGGGGTTGATATGATGCAAGTCTCCTGTCCCTTGGAGACTGAGTGAGCGGTAATATTGGAATGTCCCTCTCCCCTCCCTGCATCCAGGCTCCGATGGATCAGATCTGAGGCTGGCTTCGGTAACCGGAGATGCACTGGAACTGTCCAGGGCCTGTGGGTAGGAGACCACAGGTGGGGTTACGCTCTTCCCCATTCCTGCTTTAGAGCTTCAGAGGTAGCTCCGGCTGCAAGGGTCTTCAGGGGTCCCCTCTGACTGCAGACAGGAGTGCACCACCCATCCCCCAAGTCCACCTTGGGGGGTGGTGTGTGTGCACACGCAGAAGTGGGGAGCTTATCCTTGGAGCTCCACAAGCTGTTTCCTGGCCGTGTGGCTCTCCCCTTCAGGAAATCCCTGCAGATGTCTATTTTAAACCTCCCTCTCTGGGCTCTGGGCTCATTTCCTTTGCTGTGGGCTCTTTCCTCCAAATGGGAGCCCTTCAGCCTGGGCGTATGGAGCTGCCTCACTCCAGCTTCCTTGGCTTGGAGCCAATAAGGAAGCACTCTGTCCCAGGCTCTTTTATGGAACCTGATGCTTTTCACAGCTCTCTGGCCTTGCATCCCATTTGGATGGCCCTTCAGAATACCCTCTGGGGCAGGAGCCGCTGAGTATCGCCTCCATATGACAGAGAAAATGGACATTCGGAGCAGTTAAATGACTTGCCCATATCCCAGAATGAATAAAAGACAGTTCCAGGCTTTTGCCTTCCAGATCAGCCTGCTCAGCCTCGGCACCACTGTCAGAAGCGACCCTCCCCATGAAAGGTCCCCTCAGAGATTGGCTTAATAGGCCACCTTTACATCTGATGAGCCCACTCCCCAGCTGCAGCTGAGTGGAGGAGGGTGGATTCGTGATCTGGGGGGACCATGCAGAGGCTGAGTTGCACCCATCTGCCTCATGCTCTAGCACTTGAATGAGGCCAGAGGCTTTAGTTATACTGCAGAGGCATATGGGTTCGGGGTCAGAGCCACGTCCCAGTCAAAGGCATGGAGACACAGGGGCCATGAACAGGGAGGGAAGCCGCACCACAGAGGGGACTGGGAAGGTGTGCGAGGGGCAGCAAGGTTGGAAGACTGGGGGCCCGCAGAGAGGGAAAGGGCTGGGGACTTTGGGATCCCATGAGCCAGCTGGATGTCCCATAATCAGACCTGACCTGTGACAGATCCTGAAGCCTTTCAATGATCCCCCTTTTCCAGAGCGTGGGACCCAATGAGAACAGTGATGGCAGGGCCAGTGTTCTCTCTAACTCAAGGGACACAGAGCCCAACTCACACTGGCCTAAGCAAAAAGTACAACTTATTGGCTCGAGGAACTGAAAACACCTAAAACAGAGCTGGGCAGGTGTGGTGGGATCCAGGGGCTCAAGCAATGTCATGGGACTTGGTCTTGCTCTCTGTGTGTCCCCCTCTGCTTTTCACGGTGCTGGACCCTCAGGCTCTCTTTCCTCATGGCGGCAAGATGGCTGCCGGCAACACGAGATAATATCTCCCCACCTCTCAGCAACTCTGGCAGAAAGTGTGTCTCTCTTCCCCAAGTTTCAGCAATAGCCCCAGAACTAAGTTCCCCTGGCTCTGATTGCTAATGCCCATCCCTGAGCCAACCTCTGGAGCTGAAGAGATGGGCCATTCTGATTGGTCAGGCCTGGATTGCATGTCCTCCCCTGGAGCCATGTGTGTGAAGCCAGCTCCACTGGAAAGAAAGCCAGGAGCTGAGAGTGGGGGATGGTGGTTCCACCGGGAGCACCAGGGCAGCGGGTCACAAGAAGGCAAGCTCTATGCTGCAGCAGGCCTGACATGTTTGTGGCTAATAAGAAAACGTTATTTCTTGCTCCCCTTGGTGGCAGGGGTGGGGCTCCACTTTATGCGGTCATTCAGGGACCCAGGCTGGTGGAGGCTCTGTCATCTTCAACACACGGCTTCCAAGGACACCCTGGGTGATGACAGCCAGCAGGCAGGCAGGAGAATAAAGCAAAGGTTATGTTTTGTTGTCCAGCACCCCCTCCCCAAGGTGACATTCATGAATTGTATTGGCTGGAACTCAGTCACATGACCACACCTCAGCGCAAGGGGAGAATGGGAGAATTTAGTTGTGTTCCCAGGAGGAAGAGGAAGCAGACTCCACCATAAAGGGGGAATGCTGGGCAGGCAAAACCAAGATCTGCCTGTTTTCCAGTACCACCCAGCTCCTTTGCCCCTTTGCCAAGGTGTCCCAGCACGCAGCAGTACTAGCCTGCTCTCCTGAGCTGGGGTCTCCCTTATGGTGGTTGGACTGCCAGCTTCCCCTTCAATCTCTTGCCTGCCCAGCTTCCTGTCCACTCGTAAGTTGGGGATGATGAAACTCAGTTATTCTGGATCAGTCAGCAAACCCATATGTGCTCCTGGACAGGCAAGATGGAGCAGAGGGGGAGAGAGGACCATTCTGGCTCAGAGACTCACGACATCTGCATGTCAGCCCCCTCCATCCTTTCCAGCTGTGCTCTCCTGGGGACCGCCTGGTCCCTGAGCCAGCAGCATCCTCCTCGTCTCCATAGCTTGTGGCCAAGGACAAACAGGGTTCGGGGTGGGGGGGAGGAGAAGCTGAGCCATCACTCACAAAGGAATGACCTCCCAGCTTTCTGAACACCTTGGCTGGGAAGGCCATGTGTCAGCACCAAGGCCTGCAGCAGCTAATCATTGACTTATTCACCCATTCATTCATTCACCTCGGCATGCTCTGCTGTGTGCCTGGCATTGTGCCGGGTGCTAAGGCAAAAAGAAAAGGATATACAAAAAAAGCATAAGGTATTAGGTCTAATCTAGAGGTAAGGTGATCGGGCTTATGTCGGTTGCTCAACTAGAGACAAAAATGAGACAAGCTGTGCTTGAATCTCCTCCCATGATTTAGAGATAGTGGAACTTTAGGCGGAGAGCCACCCTAGGGTGCGAGCAAGCAACATGTTAAGTGTCTCAGAGACCAGGCACCTGATCTCATCCCAGCGCTGCCACTTAGCAGCATCAGCTAGCCTGGTAATAATAAACAGAAAGCCGCAGCTACTGCTTACTGAGTTCATTGGGCACTGTGCAAAATAAATTACCCAAAGGCAGCGCCTTCCTTCATCCTCCCAACAACCATGTAAGACCTGGACTCATCTGTCGCTGTTTGTACAGATGGAAGACCAAGGCTCCGGAAACCTTCGGAAACCTGCCCAAAGTTATACAGCCGTCCAAGGGCAGCTCTGGGGCTGGCATTCGGGTGTGTCTGACGCCCAAACCCGGGTGCGACCGCCTGTGTGTTAAAATTGGAGACTGCAGCTGTCTGCATGGTCCTCCTGCTGCCCAGCCAGCATGCCTGGATGGTGGCTGGTCCCCACGAGGAGCTGCTCTGTACTGTCAGGGTCAGCCCTGTGCTGGGCACTGGTCTAGTCCACAGAGCGAGAAGGCCCAGTCCTGAGCAGACCCCGGGGACGGCGGCTTTGGTTTCCCCCAGTGGCCTCATGTCAGGCTGCTGATGTTCTCCCCAAGAATAGCCATCCGTCTCAACAGGGCGTCTGAGGATATAGTTCTTCAGCATCTCCAGGCAGAAGCTTGGCAGAAAGAACGCTTCTCCACCCACTTGGTTTCCTATCCCGTGATGGCTCTTCCATCTGGCTCATTCATGCACTCATTCAGCACATTAGTATCGAGCATCGACTCTTGCCCCGCTGTGGTCAAGGTACCGAAGGGGGCGGGGAAGTGAAATGGATTTCTACGAGAGACACACATAAGAAGAGCAATCCTAGGGGTAACGTGATGAGGACCACATCCTGTGCGAGCTTGAGAGGAGAGATCACCCCCAGATCTGGCAGGAGTGGAGGAGGGGTATGCATTAGGGAGAGCTTGGAGGAGGTGGGATTTGAGCTGGGCCTCGAAGAGAGGGTAGGATTTGAAAAAGTGTAGCCAAAGAGGACATCCCCGGTAGTGAGAACAGGCCCGAGCCTAGAGGTGGGAGCACATGGCCATGTCTGGGGAACTGGGAACAGGATCCCCGTACGGAAGAGGAACAGTGGGAGTCAGGATGGCATTAATGGGTGGGCCAGCCACTTGACCCTGGGAGCTGTGGGCTATGGCACAAGCCACATTTGTCACAGCCCAGCGGCTGTGGAGGGGCATCAGGAGAGCGGGAAATAAGGCCCAAGGAGTCCCAGGAAGACACACGCCAGCGTTACTTCTTAGGCCTCGTCAGCCCAACAGACCTTGGACGCATGTAGCTGGTCACCCAATGATTTCAACTTAAAAAAGAAAAATCGGGAAGATCCCCTTATTCAAAGGGAATCACAGAAACCCCAAAGAGAAAACAGGCTACTTCAGTTGAGGCAGGTTGGGGGGCCTTCCCATCTCAGCTCCCCATCACTCCCCACAGCAGCATCTTGGGCACCCCTGGGGAATCAGAGGAACACGATTTGAAAACCACTGGTCCACCCCACCCAATTTTCATTTTACAGGTGGGGAGCCTGTGGCGGGCGGGAGAGAGAATGCAGGGGCACCAGACAGCTTGATCAATGGCTCAAGGTTCTTCTCCATCTTGTGCCTAAGATCAGGGAGAAAGCCAAGGTCAGTGCAGAGATGGAGGTGGGAGTGGTCCCCCTCACTTGGTGGCAGTGATGCCCCCAGAGATCCCCTTCTGTAGCCTGGTGGCAGTTGGTACTATGCTGTGATTTATGTCATCCTCAACCTGAAGATAGACAGAAGTTGCCCTGGGTCCTCCCCTCCACCCTGCACATTGAAGGTGGAGATGTGGCCAGGAAGACAACTTGTGACCACTGCTGCAGGGATGGGGCGGGGTGGGGTGGTGGGGAAGCACCCTGAAGTCCTAATCTAAAGAGAAGGGCCCTCTGGGTAAAATGGCTGTTCTGCACATGTGCTGGGTGTTTTATTATTTACCAAAGCGTTTTCGGGTAGGATTCTATTTCATTCTTACAGTTAGCCTGTGAGGTTGATATTATCCCTATTTTTACTGTTAATAAAGGTGAGGCTCAGAGAGGCTGAGTGAGTTGCCCCATGTCACACAGCTGCTAAGAAGGCAGAATTCCCTCGCCCCGGTCTTCTAACTCCAGGTATAGAGAGTAGAGTGTGAAGGAGGGAAGGAGGGAGGAGGTGTGTGTGTGTGTGTGTGTGTGTGTGTGTGTCTGTGTGTCTGTGTGTCTGTTTTGGGAGGCTGCCAGAGAAAAGTGGAGTAGGAGCTGAGGCTGAGAACGTGCCTGGGAATTGTTATGCAGCACCTACTCCTTTAATCATGTGCACCTCACCTAAGACGGTAAGAGCCCCAGGGGAGGGACTCCTGGACCCCCAGTGTCTAGCTCAGTACCTGTCCCAAGACGGGCGCTGGGGCAGCATCTGCCCCGTGAGTCTGATTAAAGAGGGTGTGCTTGCGACCTTGTTTCCGGCTGAGGTTGCCTCAAACACCAGCAGCTGCCTCGCCTGCAGCGCATCCTGCTCTCCCAGGTCTGACATCTTCCTGCGTCCTCTTCTCCTTTTGCAAATGGGGAGAAACGCCCACAAAGCCGCTGGCAATGCATAAGAGGGGAGCCATGGACATGTGGGGCATCCTGGCTGGTGGGTCCTTGTCGTCCCCCCTCCCCCGTCCAGCCTGCCCCTTCGAGGCGCCCCGACCCTGCCTGGGCTCTGCAGGTGAAGCGGCCGCAGTACCCTCTGTTCCAGCAGCTCCAGGAAACAGAACAGTTCTGACTGCCGGCCACTGCAGGGCCACTCGTCTGGGCTCCGGAGAAGTCTGGGATCAGTGCCCAGCTCAGCACAGGAATAAAGAAGATATCCAAGCTCCAGACTCACCCTGTCACAAAGGTCTGGGCAGATTTCTCTAGCTCCTCTGAAAGAAAAATGGGCTGCCCACCCCATCTCCTTTACAACCTGCCCCCCTCCTCATCACTGGGGAGACCCCGGATGCATACCACAGGCTCCGATGTACACGGGCATCTTCCCAAAGAGGCGAGGCTGATGAGAAGTCCCCAGCCCCGGGCCCCCTCCCTGCCAAATGTCCCAGAGACACTTGCCTCTGAGTGCCCAGGCAGACAGACATTCTGGGAGGCCGAGACAGACAGCTGACACTCCTCCAAGGCTTGGCGCATGTTTTGTCACACCTGCTACTGTCTCCTTCCCTGACATTAAGGGAACAGCTTCCTGGCAGTAGCCCCTCCCTGCCAATCCCGCCGGTTGGCTCTGGCTGCTACAGGGGGCCCCTTCCTAGGGTCTTCTCCTGTCCCTTAGGGTTCTGATAGTGTTTTTGTCCCCAGCAGGCCTGGCATCAAACAAAACACAGGAGTGGAGACAAGGATGAAAAAGCAGGTCCACTTTATTTACAACAATCAGTTGGTGACACATAGATCTTTGGGCTTTTTGTGGCCTTGTTGGGACACCTGGGCAGGGGGCCCACTCCCTCTGCTGGGTGAACACACTCTCCTTCCTCAGCCGGCTATGAGAACCCAACTGCTGTCAGGACCCTCCTGCTCTGACAAGCCCCGACTCAGGGGGCGGGAGGGGATGGGAGGGCATCCCTCCTGTGTCCACTTTCTGGGTGGTCAGTGTCCTCAAGCACCTGCCAAAGGTTCTCCTTACCTCCTTTGGAGACCCCATCTTGGTCCTAGTTGGAGGCACCTAGTGGGGAACCCCACACATCTGTCTGCAGAGATGTGGGGTCGGTGGAGTCTTGTGGGGGTGCCAGGTGCCAGGGCATACTCTTGGGCAGCTGCCCAGAGCAGAGGGCTGTTACCTGCTCTAACCTGTTGTTTGGGTTGGTAGGACCAGCCCAGTCTTCTCCGGAGATGGAGCAGTGAAGTCCAGAAATCCTCCAAGGGGTAGAGAGGCCAGGCACAGGGCCTGAGAATCCTTCCTTGTGTATATGGCAGCCGACTCACTTCCCACCTTGGACCTGGCCTCCGGTCTCCCGGGCCACTATTCTTTCTCTGCAAGCATGCCTGCCCAGAACTGGTCCCATCCCAGGGAGGAAGGCTTGACTGGCCAAGGGCAGGACCACGGCTTCCACCTGGCCAACGTCCAGGGCCACCCTCCTGGATTTCTGGAAACTTCTTCCCCCTTCTTTGGAGGGGTTGTTCTGGGAGGGAGAGGGTGGTCTATGGGCAAAGACCTGTTGTAAAGCTTACGAGCAATTCCACGATGGAGGGCGCTCAGCAACTCCGGATGTGGGGGAGAGGCGAACATCGAGTACTTCTGCTGCTCTCCTCCCCTTTGTCCCCCAATAATCAAGGGCGTATCAGGCGTCACCCTGAGCCAGGATGAGACGCGGGGCAGACAACAACAGAGACCACGAGGGAGGCAAGGGCCGGGGGACCAGAGGGGAGCCGAAGCGGGCAGGGCCAGGGTTGGAGGCTGGAAGTCAGGCCGGCGGGGGGCTGGGGCCGCGAGTCCCGCGCCCCTCCCCCCGCACCCCCCCCCCGCCGCGCTCTCAGCGCGCCTGGCCCGCCCGCTCCCTGGGGCCGGCCTTCCAGCGGCGGGGCTGCGCGGGCGGCGGCGGCGCCGGGGCGCCCCGCAGGCTGCACGTCCTCAGCTCCCGGGCCAGGCTGAGCACCTCGGGCCGCTCGCGCTCCTCCGCGTCCGCGTCCTCCTCCTCGTCCTCCTCCTGGATGCTGCTGAGGCGCGGCGCCCCACGGCCGCGCTCGGCGGCCGGCGGCCGGTAGGCGCACTTGGCGTTGAGCAGCCGGCGCAGCGGGGCGCGGGGCACCGAGGCGGTGGCGCCCCCGGCGCGGAGGTGCTGCTGGCGCACGTGGCGAGCGTCGCTCTGGCGCTGCAGGCGCTTGAAGTCGCTGAAGGCCGCCAGCGCGGTCTGGCGGAGCAGGCGGGCCAGGGCGCGCGCCTTGTGCGCCCGCGCCAGCAGCACGGCGTGGCAGCGCAGCACCACGGCCTTGTGGCGCGCCTGGTGGCGGTAGACCCAGGCGAAGACGCGCGGGTGGCGCCCGTCCGCGGTGCAGTAGGTGATGCGCGGCAGCAGGTAGGCGTGCGCCGGCCGGCGGCCCCCCGAGCCCCCCGAGCCCCCCGAGGCGCCGCGCTCGCACGGCTGCATGCGGATGCCGTGCGGCCCCAGCGTCAGCTTCATCTTGGTGCCCCCGCCCGGCCCGCAGCGCGCCCAGATCTTGCCCACGGCGTCGTCGGTGCAGCCGTCGCCCTTGGCGTGCAGGGTGACGGCGTTGCCCAGGTACCACACGGTGTAGGTCGGGTCCTCCTTGTTGAGCTCCACTTTCTGGCGCCGGCTGCGAAACACGCGGCCCAGGCGCTCCAGCGGCCAGTCGGGCAGCAGGTCCGGACAGGAGCGCAGGAAGCTGGAGAGTAGCGACGTGTAGGCGAGTCCCGGACTCAGGCTCTTCGCCTTGCACTTGGCCTCGTCCTCCACCAGCACGAATTTGTTGCGTCTCCAGGGCAGCATCGCGGCGGCGGCGGCCAGAGGGGCTGGGGGCACCGGGAGCTCACGGGCGTCCTGGCCGGCGGCCGGGGGAGGGGAGGGCGAGCAGAAGCCCGCGGCCCCGGGGTCGCGAGCAGCTGGGCGGCGCCGGAGCCAGTCGGTGCCCGGAGATGCCCGGTGCCCGGCCGGGCTGGCAGCCGAGATGCCGGGGCGGCGGCCGAGCGTCCGGGAACAGCTTCCCCCGGGAGTAGCTCCAGCCGTCCGGGAAGCGAGGAGGGGAGGGGGGCTGGGCGTGGTGGAGGGGCCCCCCGGGCCCGAACTGGGGGGGGGGGATCCCGCAGTCCCCGCCGCCCAAATTGCGGCGGCAGGGAGGTCGCCGGAGCTGGGGTTGGCGGCTGGCCGCTCGGAGGGGTAGACCGAGAGCGCGAGACTGCGGTGGGGACTCCTTCAGGCGTCGCGGCTCCACCTCCCCGGGCTGCCTACATCACCGGGCGGGACCGCTAGCTCTCTTGTCCCCTCCCCTCGCCCTCCTCTCTCTCCTCCCCCGCGCCGGCTAGCGCCGCTCTTCGCCCGGGACCCGGCACAGGCGCGGTGGAACGGGATTAATCATTCTTATTGGAGGGGTGGGGATGGAGGGGCAGTTAAGGAGTAGGAATCTTTTGAAATGTACCGGAGGGCTTTGCTAAATGCACATTTTCCTGACCCCCCTGGTGGTCTCCACGCTCCCCTTGGCGCATTCGGGATCCCCCTCCTCTGTCCAGGATTCCTGCTGCCTGTCAGTCACTGCATGTCCCTACCCCCATCTCTGAGAGCGCTTTTGGGTGGGTTCCTGATGGGGCTGGCCAGGCGCACTTGGCCTCCTGTCTGCACAGCAGAAAGCCAGCTGAGGTGGCCGAGCTGTGCAGTGGAAAAGTACTGTCGCTTGGTGAAGCTTTCTCCTCGGTTCTTCCAAGATCATGGGCCAGGCCGCTGCGCCTGATCTAGGAGAGCAGTCACTGCTCTGGCGCCTGATAGAGCCCCTCGCCTGGCCTGAAGCAGGAGGGTACTTTTTCAGGGTGGGGGAACGTTCCTGAGCAGTCCTGGGTCTTCGGGAATTGCATCTGACAAGCTCCCTGTGGCCAAAGGGCTGCCTCTGGGCCCTCTGAGGATTAAATAGTTAAGACTCCTGTTTGTGAATGCCAATCCTGCTCCCGAAAGCCCTGGGGTTTTGCATTCATTTTCTCCTTTAATCCTCAGAACAGCCCAGGCTCAGTTAAGTGCTTGCCCAAGGTCAAAGGGCTAGCAGGAGGTGGGACTTAGTGCTCTGCTCAGGTTTGGCTGACCCAGAAGCAGGCCCTCACCCTTCTAGGAGTCCACGAATGCTGCGTCTAGATGGGCATTTTCCATCTTCCCCTGTGACCCATCAGTGGGGGCTTTAACTGGGGAGGAGGACTGAAGTACTCGGAAAGAGACAGTTGTCCCTAGGGGTGGGGGATGCATCTCCCCCTTTCAGGATTTGTTAAGCCACAGGTTCTGTAGAATCCCAGGTCGGCTCTGATGGGGCCCAGGAGTCTCACGACCTTGGGCTCTCACACAGCCAACATCCAGGCTCTTTCCTTGGCTTCAGAACAGGTCATATGGGGAGTCTTCCAGGTCAGGAATGAGCTCAGAGGCTTGGGCCCGGCCAGGCAAGCCAAGTGACCTCTGGGAATGGGGGCAGTGGGAAGACTGTGTGTTCAACATTCAGGGTCGGCAGGCACCAGGAGTGAGTGGCTGGGTTCAGAGTCCTTGGGGGAATAAAAGTAAAAAAAAAAAAACAAAAACCCAACCAACCAAACAAAAAAACCTCCCAAACACCCCCCCAAAACGAAACAAAACAAAACAAACCCCACCGCAACTAGGCTGCATCACTGACTGCTCCTAAAATGACATGCAAATAAAGAACAAGCAATTACTTAGAATTGCAGAATCTTAGCTTTGGAGGGGGCCTCACAGATGATCTAGTCTACTGTGGCCTCATTTTATTTTCAATATGGAAATGTTATTGCTTTTTAGTGATTATAAAAGTAATACGTGCTTGTGATCAACAGTCACCCAAGAAGGACATGGAAGCCTCCCGCTGTTCCCACCCTGTAGATGTGGCCTCATTTCCCCACAAGAGAACAGGCTCTGAAGGCACAATGAGGCTTCATTTGAGTGCTTTTTGTGGGGCTAGATTTGCCCCTTGGGCCAACGGAGACATTAACTCAACCAACTCCCTTTATAGAAAAGACTTGAGATGGTTTTGACTGAAAGGTAGCTCACTGAGAAATCCTGCTATTTCCTGCCTTGGGGTCTCCTGAGTCCACCCTCTGGACCTCACTGCCTTGGGTGAGAGTGCCTTGTATCCCCCTCTTGGGAGGGTGCTGGTGGGAGTGGCCAGCAGCGAAGTATCATCGTGCAAAACTGAGATACCTCCAAGCCTCTTGAGGTTGCTCGGTTCACATACAAGGATGCAGGACTCACAGAGTTAAATTTGAATTTCAGATAAACAACAATTTTTTTGTATAAGTAGGTCCCCAGGATTGCATGCCTTTTATCTGGTCGCTAAGCCTCCTGCCTTCCAGAGGAGCGATCAAGGAGCTGCAGGTAAGTGTGCAGCCTTGAGTGCCTTCACTGCCTCCCTAAGCTTGCTCACCTAGTCCTGGTAGCATGGCTTCTGTTCCCATTGCCTTTGGGAAATCCTCTCTGGAGGATCACCCGGGGCTCTGTGAGATCAGTGTGCAACAGTCTGCTTTTATGTTAAGTCCCCTGGACCTCAAAGCAGCATTTGACATTGTGAGCCCTTTTGTTATCTTGTTCACAACTCACTTAGCCTCATTGGGGCAGGGATTCCCACCTCCCCCCACCCCCGGACCACATCTCACTTGAGGGGGCTCCTCCTTACACTCCCAGGCTTGGTCTCAGACCTTCTGCACTTCTGCCAACTTTGGTCCTTTAGAGGGCTCAGTTGCACCCAGAGCGCCACTGTCCTTTCTATTCACATTCCCCTCACTCAGGTCCTTGGTAAGAGCTCCCAACTTTGCATCAGCCATCATTGCTTTACGGACTGGTGTGCAGTTGGATTTTTTTTTTTTTTTGGTCCTTTTTCCACTCATTTTTATTTCTATCATATTGATACTTGTATTATTTTTATTTTAATTTTTTTGATACTTGTATTATTTTTAAAAGTCCAATAGCTGCCTAATAGTAGGCTTATACGTGAAAGGAGATCAGTCTCCTGCTCTACCTTCCCCAGTCTCAATTCTTACTTTTATTTATTTATTTTATTTATTATTATTATTTTTTTAAAGATTTTATTCATTTATTTGAGAGAGAATGAGATAGAGAGAGCATGAGAGGGAGGAGGGTCAGAGGGAGAAGCAGGCTCCCCGCCGAGCAGGGAGCCCGATGCGGGACTCGATCCCGGGACTCCAAGATCATGACCTGAGCCGAAGGCAGTCGCTTAACCAACTGAGCCACCCAGGCGCCCTCAATTCTTACTTTTAAACACAACCGCTCTTTTACACATCTGAGATGGCACTATTGTCGTTGGCCTCCATGTTTTTAAATAACACATCTAATTCACTTTCTAGTTTTTAAAACTTTAGCTATTGCCCACCTCCTACGGAAGATGAAGATTTGATGCCTTTTGATCTACCCCATCACACACATTTTTCCTCCCCCCTTCCTCCCAGTATTAGTCCAAACATTTTTTTTTTAAAGGTTTTATTTATTTATTTGAGAGAGAGAATGAGATAGAGATAGAGATAGAGAGCATGAGAGGGAGGAAGGTCAGAGGGAGAAGCAGACTCCCCACCGAGCAGGGAGCCCAACGTGGGACTCGATCCCGGGACTCCGGGATCATGACCTGAGCTGAAGGCAGTCGCTTAACCAAATGAGCCACCCAGGCGCCCAGTCCAAACATTTTGTTGTCATTGTTCAGTGTTCAGTGCTTAATTATTATGATCTTGCAAACATTCAAAGCTGAGCCTTGAAGTGTGTTATGATTCCATTTACCTTATTGGACAACTGTTTTGCTTTTCCAGAAACAGGTAATTGCATTATTAAAAAAAAAAACCTTCCTTATGTACTGTACCTATTAACTAATTCAGCCCCCCACTGTCCAACCTGGTTGAATGCACCAGGTGGTCTTTCAGTTCTAGGTGTTTCTCAGAGACATTCCTCCTGGAGGCATCCTTTCCGGCCTCCAATCTGCTCTGGTGACTCTATAGACTTAGCTCTACTTAGCTCTGCTACCATCCTGGGGAGTTTCTTTTGCCTGTTTCCTGGGTTTAATGGATCCCTTGCTTCTGCTCCCCCCCCCCCACCTGGGTCTCTTTCCTTGTTTTGGCATTTCTCGTTTCCAGTGGCTTTGATAGAGAGTTTGGCTGGGTGTAGAATTTTAGATTGGAAATAAATTTCCCTAGGAATTTTGAGGACACGATCCACTTGCTGTTGAAACGTCAAATGACATTCTGATACCTGATCCTGTGCATGTGACCTGATTTTTCTCTGTGAAAGTTTAAAGGGTCTTGCAGAGGTCTAAGTTTCATAGTGATGTGCCTTGACTCTGGGCACTTGGTGAGTCTTTTAATCTGGATCAATTTGAGGGACATTTCTTTGTGTTAATACCCTCCATTCTGTTTTCCGTTTTTGTTTTTTTCTTTGCAGACCTATTTTAGTCAGATGTTGGACCTCTTGGACTGGTCTTCTCATTTTTCAAAATGTTCTTTCCAATTTTCCATTTTTAAAAATGTTTGTTTTGTTTTCTGGGAAATTACCTCAACTTTATCTTCCAACCTTTCCATTAGATTTTTTTTTTCATATCTTTTCTCATAACTTTTCACTTCTAAAAGAGCAATTTTTCATTCTTTTTTAGAGCATCCCATTCTTGTTCATGTCTGAAAAAATGGTAATTATAGTTGCTTTTAAATTTTTTTTTTTTAAAGATTTTATTTATTTATTTGAGAGAGGGAGAATGAGAGACAGAGAGCACGAGAGGGAAGAGGGCAGAGGGAGAAGCAGGGAGCCCGATGCGGGACTCGATCCAGGGACTCCAGGATCATGACCTGAGTCGAAGGCAGTCGCCCAACCAACTGAGCCACCCAGGCACCCTGCTTTTAAATTTAAAAAAAAATTTTTAATTGTGGTAAAATACACATAACATAAAATGTACCATCTTAACCATTCTTTCTTATTTTTTTTAAGATTTTTATTTATTAAGAGAAAGTGTGTGGGTGAAGGAGCAGAGGGAATCTCCAAGCAGATGCCAAGCTGAGTGTGGGGCCGGATGCGGGACTCGACCTCACAACCCTGAGATCATGACCTAAGCTGAAATCAAGAGTCCAACACTTAACCGACTAAGCCACTCAGGCGCCCCCCTATCTTAACCATTCTTAAGTGTAAGTTCAGCATTGTGAATCATATTCATGTTGTTGTGCATCCAATCTCCAGAACTTTTTCATCTTGTAAAACCGAAATGCTATACCTGTTAAACAACAACTCCCCATTTCTCCCTGTCCTAGCCGCTGGCAACCACCATTCTGCTTTCTGCCTCTATGATTTCATATAAGTGAATCATGCAGTATTTGTCTCTTTGTGACTGGCTTATTTACTTTGCATAATGTCCTCAGGGTTCATCTGTGTTGTAGCAGGTGCCAAAATTTTCCTCCTTTTAAAGGCTGAATAATATTCCATTGTATAGATATACCATATTCTGTTTACCTGGTCATCTGTTGATGGACATTTGGGTTGCTTCCACCTTTTGGCTATTGTGAATAATGCTGCTATGAACATGGGTGTAACAGAATCTTCAAGGCCCTGCTTTCAATTCATTTGGATCTATATCCAGAAGTGGAATTGCTAGATCATAGAGTAATTATATTTTGTAATATTTTGAAGAACTGCCATACTGTCTTCCATAGCTGCTGCACCATTTTATACCACACAAGGGTTTTAGTTTCTTCATCTCCTCACCACTTGCTATTTTTCTTATTATTATTACTTTAAAAATATATAGTAACCATCCTGATGGCTGTGAGGTGGTATCACATTATTATTTTGATTTGCATATCCCTAATTAGTGCTGTTGAGCATTTTTTCATATGCCTGTTGGCTATTTGTGTATCTTCTTTGGGGAAATATCTATTCAAGTACTTTGCCCATTTTAAAATTGTTTAATTGTAGGAGCTCTTTATATATTCTGGATATTAACCCCTTATGACTGGCAAATATTTTCTCTGTTCCTTAGGTTGTCTTTTTATTCTGTTGATTGTGTCCTTTAATGCACAGAAGTTTTAAATTTTGCTGTAGTTCATTTTATCTATTTTTACCCTTGTTGCCTGTGATTTTGGTGTCCTATCCAAGAACTCATTGCCAAATTCAATGTCATGAAGTTTTCTCCCTATGTTTTCTTCTTCTAAGAGTTTTATAGTTTAAGCCTTACTTTTAGGTCTTTGATCCATTTTGAGTTAATTTTGGCATATGGTGTGAGGTAAGGATCCAACATAATTTTTTTTGTATAAGGATATCCAGTTTTTCCTGCACCATTTGTTGAAAAGACCGTCCTTTTTTCAATGAGTGATCTTGGCACCCTTGTCAAAAATCATTTGACCATATATGCAAGCATTTATTTCTGGGCTTTCCATTCTATTCCATTGGTTTATGTCAGTATTTGTGTTGGTACTGTACTGTTTTGATTACTATGGTTTTGTGATAAGTTTTGAAAACAGAAAATGTGAGACCTCCAACTTTGTTCTTCTTTTTTCAAGATGGTTATAGTTATCCAGGATCCCTTGAGATTCTATGTGAATTTCAGGATGGATATTTTTATTTCTGCAAAAAGTGCCATTGGGATTTTGATAGGGATTGCATTGAATCTGTAAATTTCTTTGGGTAGCATGGACACATTGTAACAATATGAAGTCTTCCAGTCCATGAACATTGCTATTTATTTGTGTCTTCTTTAATTTCTTTCAGCAACATTTTATAGGTTTTAGTGTACAAATCTTTCCCCTTCTTGGTGAAGTTTATTACTAAGTATTTTATTCTTTTTGATGCTGTTGTAAATGAAATTGTTTTCTTAATTTCCTTTTCAGATCGTTCGTTGTTAGTGTATAGAAATGCAACAGATTTTTGTGTGTTGATTTTGTATCTTGTAACTTTGCTGAACTTGTTCTAAAAGTTTTGTGGAATCTTAGGGTTTTCTAATTATAGTTGTTTTAATTTTTATTTTTATTATTTTTTTTAAAAAGATTTTATTTATTTATTTTTCAGAGAGAGAGAGAGAGAGACAAAGAGAGCTCAAGCAGGGGGAGCAGCAGACAGAGGGAGAATCAGGCTCCCCCCTGAGCAAGGAGCCCAGTGTAGGACTCCTGGGATCATGACCTGAGCTGAAGGCAGACGCTTAACTGACTGAGCCACCCAGGAGTCCCAGTTGTTTTTATTTTTAAATTTTATGTATTATTATTGTTATTGTTATTATTTCTGGAGACTGTTGTGATTTTTATTCAATTTGGTATCCTGATTAAAATAAGAGCAAATAAGAATTATGTTTTAAAAACATTGCATTATTACTATATCATTTCAATATGGCTTTACATTGATTGTATATATAGACAAAAATAACCTTGGAATTATAATTATCATTGTTTTAAAAAGCCTTCTTTAATTTCAGGCATTGCTCTGCTCCCTGGGTTCCTTTTTCCTGTTTTTCATTTTTTTATAATTAATTTTTAGAGATATAAATCTCTGAATCTCGTGTGGACAGCTTTCCTCTAATGTCTGGGAATCCTTGTTTCCTGTGTCTGAGAGGCACAAATGCAGATTGGAAACTCTTTATGTCCGGGGAGTGGAGAGGGATGAACAGGACTTGTTGTGCATGGGCCTCAGTATCTGATGACAAACTCAGCCATCAATCTTATAAGGCAAGCCCAACGAAGGCTCTCCTTGACAGAACTTGAGTCAGACTCTTCTGCACCCTTTTGCTATGGCCCCAGTCCTGCATCGCTTGGTTTTAGCAAGAAACTTGATAAGTCATTTTGTTGATAAAGTAAGGCCCTGCCCTCCGTATCTGGTCACCCTCAATATCTGATCCAAATCCTCGTCCCCCACCATCATCCAGGTGAGATCTGATCACCTTCAGCAAGAATCCTGTGGAGTCGGTTTAGTGAGAATAACCCCTCACCCCTGATGTATCCTCTTAATAATTTTCCACCCACTGATTCCACCCTACTCCTTGGCTATAAACCCCCACTTGTTCTTGCGATATTGGGAATGGAGTCCAGTTCTGTACTGAGGTCTACTTTTCCCCTATTGCAATCATTTCTGAATAAAATCTGTTTTTACCCCTTTAACAGTCCAGCTCTGGTTTTTCTTGAACAACCTTCACAATATCGAGGGCTGTAGGTCTTTTCTTTTGGGCTGGCCACTGGCCCCAGAGAGAACTTCTAGACCCGCCTGCACATGGGAGAGGGGGTGTATAAACCGGGCTGCCAGCATTCTGGGGGAGGAGTGGAGACAGGGCCTCCTGCCTCCTGATCAGCATGCAGGCTGCCAGTGAGTCCCTCACCCCGGCTATGCCCCAGGGTCCTTAGTCCAGAGGCCCTGGGGGCAGTCCCTCCAGAGAGGAAAGCTCCAGTCGCCCGGCTAAGGGCATGGGGTGGGAATGCTTGCACTTCTCAGGAAAGGGGATGGCATCTGGGGCTCTCACTGCAGGCTTTCACCCGGCCCTCTGTTTTTACTTTCCCCCTGCACCCTCATCACCAGCGATGTCTGGTGCTTGGAATACCCCAGTTCCAGGCTCCCCAGCATGACTCTTGTGAGGTTTCTGTTGTTCCCACCCTACTGAGCTTGCTACCCCTTGCTCGTGTGCCTTCCGTCTTCCAGAATGTTAACACCTCTCAGCTGCTGTCATCACTTCTCTCTTTTTCCTTGTCAGTTGGTGCCACTTTCGTTCTTTCATTGTCATGTTGGTGAGGCTTGGGGAAGGGAGGGGGAGTTTACTTCAGTTTTCCAGGTCTACCAGAAGTCTCTCCTCAGTAGTTTCAGATGGACCATTATTTTATTGTTTTTTAAAAAGATTTATTTATTTATTTATTTGACAGAGAGACACAGCGAGAGAGGGAACACAAGCAGGGGGAGTGGGAGAGGGAGAAGCAGGCTTCCCGCCGAGCAGGGAGCCCGACGCGGGGCTCGATCCCAGGACCCTGGGATCATGACCTGAGCTGAAGGCAGATGCTTAATGACTGAGCCACCCAGGCACCCCATGGTGTGGTTTCTGAGGCAAGGACATTGTGGGTCACTGTCTGGTGGAAACCAGCTGCTGGGTCACGAGGACACTCAAGCAGCCCTCTGGAGAAGTCCACGTGGGGAGGAACTGAGGCCGATGGCTGGCATCAGTTCACCACGCATGTGAGGGAGCCACTTTGGAAGTGACCCTGCCGCCCCAGTCAGACCTTCAGATGACTCTGGCCCCAGCTGAAATCTGGGCTGCAACCTCATGAGAGACCCTGCACCAGACCACGTGGCTTGCCCACTCCCAAATTCCCAACCCACACAAACCGGGACATAATAAATGCTTACTGGGGTCGTAAATCGCTAAGCTTTGGGAGGATTTGTTTTTAGCAGAAGATAATGAGGACAATCCCTAATCTGTCAGTGGTCCCCCCAAAGCTCTGTGTGATTGCTACCCCCCCCAGCTTCCCCAGGAGACCCTCTCTTGGCCTCAGCTATGCGGAGCTCCTTCCAGTCCATCCACCTCCCCAGCACTGTCACGTCCTCTCCACAGGTTGTTCCTGCTCATCCCCATCCCTCCTCTTCATCTCGCGTCCTCTTCTAGCCTATTCATCTTTCCAACCAATGCCTAAGGGTCACCGCTAGGGAAACAGTCCCCTAAGCTCTCCTGCCTTCCCTTGGTTCTGCCCCTCACAGCTCCCTTAAAGCATTTATCAGAATTGTCATCGTGTCATTATTCGTGTAATCATTTATATAACGCCTGACTCCCACCACCCCTAAGACTCTGAGCACTCCAAGCGCAGGGAATGCTTCCATCTTTATGTTGCTGAACTCCACATTGCCCCCGACAGCATCTGGAACCTAGGAGGTTCTGAAAAGACATTTGTTGGACATGAGATGAGAATGAGATGTGCTCCTGCGAGCTGACCCAGTGGTTGTCCTCAACTATGAGAGAAGCAGCTTTCAGCAAATCCCTAACTGACGGCAGGTCAGTAAGTTATTCTTAAAGGACAGCACATACACTTTAATTAAAAAAAAACACACACACACAAAACTCACTTCCGACAATGACTCATTTTGTGACCTTGGGCGGCTTGCCTTCCCTCTCTGAAAAAGGTAGATAGTAATTGGTGCAATGTTTCTCTTGAAAGCTGGGAACCATTTCATGTAGAGAGATTTTGGCAAGGTTTTCAAAGCCCTTAAAGTACAGTTTTCTTAATATCCAGGTGGTTGTAAGTGATTATGTAAATGGTGAATAGAAATGAGCTATGCTCTATCGCGTGGAGGCATCTCAGTTCTAGGTGTGTGTGTGTGTGTGTGTGTGTGTGTCTTTTGGTCTTAAACTGGTATACCTTTGTGTGTCCGTTTGTTTTAAAGAAGAATCTATGTTTGTTCTAGAATGCTCATGAACATCCAAAATTCTACAGATTTGTTTGAAGCTGTATTTTTTATAAAGATTTATTTATTTTTTTGAGAGTGAGAGAGACCATGAGAGGGGCAGAGGGAGAGAGAGAATCTCAAGCCGACTCCACAATGAGTGCAGAGCCCGACATGGGGCTTGATCTCACAACCCTGAGATCAGGACCTGAGCTGACACTAAGAGGCAGATGCTTAACCGACTGCGCCACCCAGGTGCCCCTGTTTGAAGCTGTATTTGAAGCTGTGTTCATTTCTAAGTCATTTGGCTCTATTCTTTTGTAATAATAATAAATCCATATTTACTGAAAGCTAACTCTGTGCCAGGCATTATGCAAAACCTTTTCCTTCACCAAGCTGATCCTCACAATCACTTTTGCAAGGCAGGAACTGTTATAATCCCCATTTTACAGATGAGGGGACTGAAGCTCAAAGAGGATAGATAACGTCCCTAAGGCTACGCAGCTGGTGAAGCAATAACCAAAATCTGTTTGGCATGCTCTTAACCTTTGGAAAAACTGCACATGTGGATTTGTGATTCAGAAATAAAGGGGAAAAAAGGGGTGCATGGGTGGCTCAGTCGGTTAGGTCTCTGACTCTTGATTTTGTCTCAGGTCATGATCTCAGGGTCAAGAGACTGAGCTCCGAGTCAGGCTCTGAGCTCAGTGTGGAGTCTGCCGGAGATTCTCTCACTCCCTCTTCCCCTCTCCCCGCTTGTGCTCTCTAAATAAATAAATAAATAATTTTAAAAAAAGAAACAAAGACAAAGAGGAATATGACAAAAATTCCTATTAATTCTGGAGGATTTTAAATGTCAAGGAGCCTTCAGAATAGTGTTGGTCTACAATCCGATGCCCGAGTACCGAGTGGTATGAATGTAGGAGATGAACAAGGGTGATGGATGAAATGTTATTTTCAGCCATCTGCGTTCACAAGATAAGCTCCTGGCGCACCCATCAAATTATAGTCCTGTTCAAAGCAAAATCATGTTTGCACACCAAACAGAACAGTCTAAACAAAGGCCAGTGTTTGCATACAGCTGGGTCTCAGGAATGCATACAAGAGGAGACATCTGCGGCCCACCAGGCCCTGATCCAGAGCAGGTGGGATCAAAGACAAGGCCAGAGGAGGGGATGTGGCTCCATTTTGTCCCGAAACTGATCTCAATGGGACTCTGTCCACTGGACCCCCTAACCTAACCAAATATGGCCAGTCTTCATTCACTCCGCCAGCTATTCAACAAATGATTTCTGTTTTTTTTTTTTTTAAGATTTTATTTATTTATTTGAGACAGAGAGAATGAGAGAGAGAGAGCACCTGAGAGAGGGGAGGGTCAGAGGGAGAAGCAGGCTCCCCGCCGAGCAGGGAGCCCGTTGCGGGACTCGATCCAGGGACTCCAGGATCATGACCTGAGCCGAAGGCAGTCGCTTAACCAACTGAGCCACCCAGGCACCCAACAAATGATTTCTGAACGCTTGTTATGTGGCAGGCACAGGTTTGGAGGCCTGGAAGGCATGCGTGGTCCGTCTCTGGAGCTCATGGTCTTGTTTGAGAGAGGGATGTGTGTCATAGGAAGGTACATTAAATGAACTAATACACACAAATCATTATTTAATTATGTGGTGAGAAGGATGGAGTGCTCTGAAAGGGGGTCAGGGGCCACCTGTCTGAGGAAGTAATTTCATTTGAAACTTAGAGGTGTTGCCAGAGGAGAGACTATTAAAGAAGCACAGGTTTGGGGCGCCTGGGTGGCTCTGTCGGTTAAGCGTCTGTCTTTGGCTCAGGTCATGATCTCAGGGTCCTGGGATCGAGTCCCTCATTGGGCTCCCTGCTCAGCAGGGAGCCTGCTTTTCCCTCTCCCTCTGCCCCTCCCCCTGCTCACGCGCACTCGCTCTCTCTCAAATAAATAAATAAAATCTTTAAAAAAAAAGCATACAGGTTTATTAGTTATGTATGTAACAAATCCCCCCAAAACTCAGTGGCTTACAACAACAATACTTATTTGATTACCTCTTAGGGTTTCTGTGGGCCAGGAATTTGGGAGAAGCTCCACTGGCCAGTCCTCAGGATCTCTCTTGAGATCTGTCAAACGCTGGCTGGGGCTACCATCATCTGAAGGGTCGACTGGGGCTGGAGGGTCCGCTCTGACATGGCTCACCCTTGTACCTGGCAAAATGGCACTGCTGTTGGCCGAGGGCTTAGCTTCTCTTCACGGGACTGCTTGCGTGTTCTCGTGGCCTGGTGGCTGACTTTTCCCCAGAGAGAATGAGCCAAGAGGCCAACATGGAAGCTGCAAAGCCCTTTATGATTAGTCTCTAAAGTCACAGAGTGTTTCTCTGCCATGTTCTATTAGTCACACAGGACCAGTCCTGCTCCAGCTGAGAGGGACTATATCAGGTTATGTGTGCTGGGAACTTGGACCCTTGGGAGGCATTTTAGAGGATAGTTACAAATGATTGGTCAACAGGGGTTAAGGAATGGCACTCTCATACGGTGTTTTCCTGGAGCCCTCGCAATGGATGGGTGAGTCC